GAAGAGATAAGTTAAATTTCATGTTTTCCCTTAATAATAGAACCACAAATATATGATTAAGTATACGTGTATGTGCTTGTGTGTCACCTGTAAACGTAGTAACAACTGCAAAAAAATTGAATGAGAATAATTAGATAATGTAAATATAAGTGAAACCACAATAAAAAGTTAATGTGAATATGAGTGAAACCACAACTAAAAGTTTAATGAACATATTGCAAAAAAATTCATATGCAAAATTCCTTTGCGAATTGAATGATCACCCATCTTTTGAAGATTTCAAGATACTAATAAACATAGATGTTGTATTAGATTAATGTGTTTATAACTCACAAATAGTCGATCACGAGGCCACTATCTGGGTTGAAGGAAATAATGATAATATTTTATTTGAGAGATAGATTATTGAGTTGACAATCAATCCTACAAAAAACTTTGTTTTCTTTTTTATTTTTATTCTATTTTTATCAATTTAAATAATTATGATATTTAACAACGTGCATTGCACGTGCATCTCAACTAGTATGATTAAGTATACGTGTATGTGCTTGTGTGTCACCTGTAAACGTAGTAGCAACTGCACAATATACATACAAATAAGTATGTTTAAGACAGACTAGATATTTTGAAAATTCTATTGTTTTCTCTTGAGATAAACCAAGATAATGTTTGCACAAAATTTCCCAACTCAAAGTCATCATTAATCTAGTACAATATCTCTATTTATTAGTATCCTGAAGTCCTTAAAAGATGTGTGATCTTTCAATACATAAAGGAATTTTATATATGAATTTACTTGTAATATGTCTATTAAAAATTTTATGGTGGTTTGACTCATATTCACGTTAACTTTTAGTTGTTGTTTCGCTCATATTTATATTATCTTATATTTCTCATATGTATGAATTTGACCCTTGTTATATTGACAGGGGTGGAAATCAATGAAATGCATCTAGCTATATGGAATATTAGAGGGTTTAATAAATCCTCTAAACACCTGATTGTCAAGCAATTCATATATCAGTACAATCTTCCCCTTATAGCTCTTTTAGAAACTAAACTCTCTGAAGACAAAATGAAGCAGATAGCAAGGAAAGTTGCTAAAGACTGGAGTTGGACTTCCAATGTGCAGGAAGCTGAGAATGGCAGGATTTGGATTCTTTGGAACAAGGATATTCTGAAAATTCAAAAGGTGAATTCAAGCAATCAGTGTTTAACTTGCTCAGTTCAATTGAATAATGACAAGTTCTCATGTATAATGTCTGTGATACATGCTTCAAATCAAAAAGAAGATAGGAAAAAACTATGGCAAGATTTGCTTAGTCTCAAAAACAATATTTATTGTCCTTGGATTGTTGGGGGTGACTTCATTGCAATTATGAGTGCTGAAGAAAAACTAGGTGGAACATCTACAACTGAAGCTGATACAGAAGACCTCCAGAATTTTATTTCATCCAGTCAGTTGCTTCATATCAAATCCATTGGATGTTTCTATACTTGGAATAATAAACAAGATGCTGATACTAGAGTTTGGAGCAGAATTGACAGAATTCTGATTAATGAAAAATGGCTACATCATTACACATCAAGTCAAGTGGAATTCTTAACTCCAGTTTGTTCTGATCACTCACCAGCTCTTATATCTGTTGGTGATGAAGATTTTCAAGGTAAAAAGCCCTTTAGATTTTACAAAATGTGGACAAAACACCCAGAGTTTCTAACAGTTGTGAACTCTGTTTGGAGGCAAGAAGTTAAAGGGTATAACATGTACAAGATCTACTTCAAACTCAAAATGTTGAAACATGCTCTCAAAGAATTGAACAAGAAACATTTTATGAATATTGGAGAGCAAGTTCTTAGAGCCAAAGAAAAGTTGATTGGAGTTCAAAAACAACTGAATTTAGATCTTTTTAATAAGGATCTTATTTCTCAAGAAAAGGAATGTATTCAAAAATACAATGGACTGCTTCAATGTGAGGAATCATTTCACAGACAAAAAGCAAATATCAGTTGGGCTGTGCATGGAGTAAGTGTACACAATATTTCCATTCAGTGATGAAAACTAAAAGGCATCAAAATAGAGTGTTAACTCTATATTCAGAAGATGGGAGAAGACTTACTGATATGCCAGATATTGCCACAGAGCTTGTGGAATACTATAAGAAAATGCTGGGTAGTAAAGTGCACACAACATTGCCAGATTCTGCAGTTATCTTGAATGGTCCTGTTCTCACAGATTCTCACAGGAATACTCTAGGATCTCATATCACTAAAGAAGAGATTAAGCAAGCTGTCTTTGCAATTTCTGATGAAAAAGCCCCTGGACCTGATGGCTATAGTGCATCATTTTTCAAAAGTGCTTGGAGCATCATAGGTGAAGACATGATTAAAGCTGTCCAGGAATTCTTCAGGTCTGGTAAACTTCTGGGCTCTCTCAACACAACAACTATCACACTAGTCCCTAAAGTACTAAATCCCAGTTCACCTTCTGAGTTCAGACCAATCTCTTGTTGTAATTGTGTCTATAAAGTGATTTCAAAAATAATTACTGCTAGAATTCAGAAAGTTATAGGACACATTATTGATGATGCACAAAGTGCCTTTATCAAGGGAAGGATTGTCTCAAACAATATCCTACTTGCACATGAGCTTGTCAAGCATTATGGTAGAAAGCACATATCCCCAAGGGCTACTCTCAACATAGATCTGAGGAAAGCTTTTGATACAATAAGCTGGAGTTTTATTCAGGCTATGCTAACTGGATTGGGGTTTCCTGATAACATGGTTAGATGGATTATGAATTGTGTGACTACTACAAAATTCTCTCTATCTCTCAATGGGTCTCTACATGGTTATTTTCAAGGAGCACGAGGATTGAGACAGGGGGATCCTTTATCACCATACCTGTTTGTTATTGGGATGGAATATCTGTCCAGGAGATTGAAGAAGCTCAGAACTGACACTTTGTTCAAATATCATCCAAAATGTTCTGGAATGGGAATAACACATTTGGTCTTTGCTGATGATCTGTTGCTGTTTTGCAGAGCTGATATGAACTCCATTCATAAATTGCATGTTTGTCTTCAAGAATTCAGCAGGGTATCTGGGTTAGAGGCTAATCCAAACAAGTGTGCAGTTTACTTGGGTGGAATTGAAGATACTATTAAAGAACAGATATGCTCTCAACTGAATTACTCAGAAGGCTCCATGCCAGTCAGGTACTTAGGGTTGCCCTTAATTGCTAAAAAGCTCACTCATCTAGATTGCACACCTTTGCTGAACAAAATTTCAGATCAATTCCAAGGATGGCAGAGCAGAAGAAATCTATCTTATGCTGGAAGAATTCAGCTGATTAAATCTGTCATTATAGGGATACAAAACTACTGGACAAGTAACTATGTGTTACCCATCAAGGTTCTACAAAAAATTGATAAACTGTGCTCTGACTTCTTATGGAACAGTAAGGTGCACTTAGTCTCCTGGCATGATGTTTGCAAAGACAAGGAAATGGGAGGTTTGGGATTATATACTGCAAAGGACTGGAATTATGCAGCAGCAATCAAGCTGTTATGGATGATACACACCAAAAAAGATATATTGTGGATTAAATGGGTACATGAAAACTACATACACCATTTGGACATATGGCAGGTTCAACCAAAAGTGACAAACTCTTGGATGTGGAGGCAAATACTCAAAATTAGAGATATGGCTCTTAACAAATTTGGTGATAGTAATAATTTCTCAGTTATACTATGGCTAAACACCCTCTCCAGGCTGCTGACAAAAGACAGACTATGCAAGATGGGGATTCTAAATGAAAATCAATGCATCTTATGCTCAGCTCAACAAGAGACAAGTAAACATCTATTTTTTGAATGTCCGTATTCAGCTCTCATTTGGAATGAAATAATGGAATGGCTAGGCTACTCATGGAGATCTTGCAGCTGGGATAGAGTTATAAACTGGTATTGTATAAATCTGAAAGGGAAGGGATTCATGAAGAAGATGAAGAGAATGACACTGTCGGCTACTGTCTATTGCATTTGGAAGGAAAGAAACTTAAGAATTTTTCAAAGGAAAATGCATACACCAGCTCAGTTGGTGAGAGAGATAAAGATTTCAATCTTTTCTAAGGTGTTAAATGAAGATATTCCTGAACATATCAAAGAAAAAATAGGTAAAATGTAAAAACAGTCTGTTTTTTCTGATTTTTCTGTGTTTTCTTTTGTTTGTTTCTTACCAGAGATGAACTGGTAAAGACTTGATGTGTATACATTTCCAAAATTTGGTAGATGAATAAAATTTATTTCATTGACCAAAAAAAAAATATTATCTTATATTCTCATTTAATTTTATAGCTCATTCTCTGTATCATAGAAGTAAAACTTAAAGTATGAAGAATTATTTTCTACGAAATTAGAGTAGGGAGATTATGATATTTTTCTCCATGCGCTCTAAATATAAAATTTTTTATGCAAGGTTCCTATCAAATCTTACCCTAAACGATGTGGATGGAAAATGCTATTATAACTCCCTTAATTGTACTGTATATAGGACACACAACTCATCTAAAATAACCATATCTGCTAAATGAATTTTGTTATTATGAGATCAACATGTTAGTGACTCGTATTCAAACTTTTGGCTCTATAAAAGACACAAGAATTTAGAGTGCATACCTTATATATCGTAAAGAACATATTGGTTCATGAAGAATTTTTCTTAATAATTGTAATATTACTATTTAATATTAAATCAATTTTATTATATAAGATTATATTACCCTTTTTAATAAATGATAAAGTATATATATGAAAACCTCGATGCTTATAGCCAGTAGTTTGGCTACACAAAATTGGTTAATTTCATATTATAGTTTTCTATTTGTATTATTATTGGTAATGCCATTACCTTTCCTCTTTATCTAATTATTCATACTTTTCTGATATAAGCTCTCTTTTGCTAATCACTCAATTGGCTATATTTAGTTTTTATAATATCAAATGTTAGAATATTTTCTTCTGTTTAAAAAGTGTTGATATGATTTTCTTATAAAATATATACACATAGTAGTAATAGTATATACTTCAGTTTAACGCAAACATTAGCTTGAAGATGTTTAGAGTGAGGTCCTTTCTACGCAAGAATGGTGATATAGCGATTACACAGTCCAAAAGTCAAAGAAGAAATTTCTAAAAAAATAATAATAATTTAATATGTTAAATTAAGAACTAATTTATAAAATATACATGTGAAATACAGATAGCTATAAAAAGTAAGGTATATATCTTCATAAAAATTTTATAGTGAGTGACCAACTATAATCATCCTAATTTAAGCATAAATGATTATTATTTTAGTTACTAATGTGATACGCGTAACTAAGGAATGAATTTAAAGTAAAAAATAGGAATTGAGATTGTATTATCATGTGGATAAATAAATAAATGTCATTAGATCTCCTCTTTATATTAAATTTAAAAATAATAAATTAAATTATTAAGTATTAAATATTAGCTCATGTGAGAAAGTAAAGTAATCTATAGTCTATATACATATATAAGTAACCAATCAAACGTATTAAAATTATGATGACCATAGTCAAAATTATATGATGTGTTCGCATTAAATATACTTCATAAAAAATAGTATTTTAAAGTCAAAATCTTTTTAACCACTATGTAGATTGTCTAAAAATTTTGCTTATATAAACTATATTGTCTAGAAATAGTGATATACACACTTAACTATGGTCTAATAATCTTAAGAATGACTTACTCTTCAATATCATCATTGATTGATATATATATACATTACACTAAAGACACAATGAAAATTTAGAAAACTACAAAATAAACACTCTCAAAAGCTTTAAAAATTGTAAAAAACACCCTAAATTTTTATAATTTATAAATACACAAAACAATTAAACATTACATTGAAAGTAAGGAATTACAAAAAATCATTAAAATTTTTCAAACTTTGGAAGGGTAATTTGCAATGTACTAAACTTAATTTTTTTGTAAATTTCAAGTGTAATAGATTTTTAATTAGTTATGTTCTTTTCAAAATAGTTATGTGTAATATTAACCATGAAAAGTTTTTCCTAAACCTATACCATTAAAAGATGTATGATATTTTTTGTAAAAATTTAATTTTCTAGGGGTTGTTAGTAATTTTTTATACTTATTTTAGTGTTTATATGTTAGAAATTCTCATAATGTTTTTTCTATAAATTATGAATTTTAGGGGCTTTTTGTAATTTTTTAAATTTATAGGCCTTTTCTACAGATTGTAAATTATTTATAGACTATTTATAATTCCTATGCTTTCAATTTACTTATTAGTTTTAAATTCTCTAGGTATTTTTTTTTAAAATTTTAAGTTTTAAAGATTTATTTGTAATTTTTAAAACTTTAAGGGTGTTTTCTATAATTTATAAATTATGTAGTGGATATTAGTAATTCTTATATTTTTAATGTACTATTAAGCTGGAAATTATCAGGATTGTTGTAAATTTTACAATTTTAAAGGTTTTATTTTACAATTTATAAAAGGTTTAGAGTGTGTATTGTAAATTTCCTAATTTTTTGAGGTTGTTTGTGTTACTTGTAGGTTTTTAGTGTGTTTATAGGTTTAAAATTTATAAGGTGTTTTTTTATAAATTTTGAATTGTTAGGGGTATTTTTGCAATTATTAAAACTTACAAGGAATTTTCTTCAAAGTCAAAAAAATTTTAGTTTCTAGCTAGCATATATTTTTTTAGATTTCTCACTGAAATGAAATAAGTAAAAATTTATACTTTTTAAGATGTTTTTTAATAAAATTTTACATTTGTAGGGTTGTTTTTATAGTTTAAAAAACTTGAAGAATATTTTTTACAAAGTCCAAAATGTTTATGTGCTTGCTAGCATATGTTTTTTTTTTACATTTATCTATAAACTGAAATAAGTAAAGGATTTGAATTATATAAAACATATCTCTTTTATCTAATAACATGTTAAGTCTCGTTATGAATAAAATAAATTATTTAGTTACCAATTCAAAGAAGAT